TGTCCGGGCTAAAGTATTCCTTAATAACTTACCTTCCGGCTAGAAAGAAATCTGTAAATCAGTGCATCTGTACACACAAACTGCAGAAGCAGCCCTGCTTGGGACAGCCTCAATGCACAAGCAAGAGCATGTCTCCGGAGAGACAGAGAGGCCTCAAAGGCAGCCTGGCAAATCTGAACCTGATCTCCCTGGAAACAGAAAGGGAGAGGCAAACTGGATTTACTGTATATCTTTGTTTTTAATCCACTTTACACGCTCCACTGGTCCTACAATAGTTTTTTGTGCAGGCTTCATGTATAGTCTGAAAAAGAAAATAAAGGAAAAACATCCATTTATGTTCTTTTTTTCTGTGACATCAGAGAAAAGGGTCATGTAGGTCTCTCTGGTATTTTCCTATCTGGAAAAACAGAGCTGTGGCATAATATCTGGCTGGAGTTTGAGTTCATGACTGTATGATGCTAGTTTGCTTTTCAGACTGAAATGCAACACAAGTCATTCTGTTCATCCAGTTCATCTTGATTTTAACCTTGCTCTTTGTATTGCTGTGTTTTATGAGTTGCCCTTGGGTGTTTGAAAGGTGCCAATAAATGTAACTTATTATTATTATTATTATTTTCCATCCATTATCTATATAAGATAAAGAAGTGAATTCTCCTCACTGTAGACCATAAAGAAAAACCTCTGAACAGGCGGTTACAAGATGTAAGAGTAAGCACTGAATCCTCGCAGTTCATTTCCTCACGTGCCAAAGAAGTAAATGGATAAATTAAACCAACAGGGAGAACAGCAACAACACTTTTTCATCTTTTCAGTACCTTTAGTGCACAGCTGTTCTGATTTAATAGCTGTTGTTTCAGTGGGTTAATTTACAGAAGCTTTGATAGCTGTGTCACTTTCCTTGCATTCAGTTTCATGACATTCCCACAATGGATCCCACCAATAAAAGCAGTAAGTGATTCAGCAGTTGGGGAAACAGCCACTGGTTCCATTGAAGAGCAACCCCAGACCCCTGAATTGCTTGACAAAAATTTTAAATGGGGCTGGTGATTCACAAATCTGGAATCAGGCTAGCGAGATGTGCAGGGAATTACAACCAGGCTTCACTATGGAAGATTTCTTACAACTGAGAAGAGAGTGGAACACAGCCAGCACAGCATCCCATGGTTTCCCAACAGGCACTCATTGTGCACTACTTCTGAACTAATGGGGCTTGTGTGTAGACAGTGAAGTCAAATACAGAAAATACAGAAAACCAGATGATAGATTCATGGCACATGCATGCTAAGTGCTGTTCTTTGTGCTCACAAGTGTGCCAGTTTTTCTGCATCTGCCCATATGCTCCTGAATGTGAAGACAGAAAGCACAAAGGCAAGGCAAAAATAGATGGAGGAATACAATGACACAGAGCGGATACAATAACAATGGGGAATGATAGAGAGAGGGGGGTGAGAGAGGGGAAAAGAAGACAGGAATAGGTAAAACATGTCATTATCCCCAATGGACAGAGCTTGTCTTTTATCCAGGACACAGTTTCACCAAGCAGCAGGAACACCACCAATGAGTACAGCAGAAAAAATAAAAAATAAAATAAAATAAAAATCACGTTACTGCCTCCTACATGCAGTCTAGATTATCTGAAACCTGAGACCTTACAGTATGACTGCATTAGTAAACCCATCTTAACAAAGCACGAGCTCACTCGGCTGTGGGTAAAGACAAATGTACCTGAAGCTCTGTTTTACAATGTCTCATCATCAGCCAAAACATTTTCTGTGTATCATTACACTTTAAATACATTGCACTGCTCAGTAAGCTTGATACAGTCAAGCTTTAAAAGAGACTGCATTCCCACAACTCCAAGGTTAGCTTTATAAAAGGCTATGTGTTGCCCTCAAGGATACTTAGTTTGTATAAATGCTTTACACAAATGTTACACAAGGGTGGTGTGAATTAAAGCAATACTGAATAAAGAGACTGTTTTATTATTTTAACCTATAGCATCACCACACTGGGCAACATCGCCAGAAGAAGCCATTTGACCGGTAGCCTTGACTTGTAATATGGGTCCACAGTGATCGCTAAGAAGTCATTTCTAGCCATATTCTCTAAAGTTTTGCATTGTTTCAAGGGGCTTAAATCATTCCTGAATACTGGAAGCGATGGATTTTCAGATGTGGTTTTGCACATGAAGAGCTGTAATCCACAAACGTAAAAATGAGAGAGGGTGAGCGAAGTAAATTAAACTGGGCTTTAGTTAACACATTGACAGCCATCTTTCTTCAAATTTCACATTTCCAGTTAAATGCAGTTTATTTATGAAGGATTTCTAATAGTTGTTGTGGATCTGCTGTGGATGTCTATTTATACATAGAACAATCAGCCTACGTACAGTCATCAATGAAAGCTGAGCATTCATACACGGCTGCTGGGCAATGAAGAAGGATGTATTCGAATAAGACCCTTGGTTAAAAAGAAATACTACAAAGATAAGACTTCAATGAAATGTCAACTGAAAAGGCACATCAGAGCACTGTACATTACATAGTACAAATATAAGGTTATTGTCAGAATATATATCACATGTACTATTAAATACAAGAAATGAGTCCCATAGTGTCAATTCAGACACTTCATGGAATATTATCATTTTAAGTTTTCTTACAACAAAGCCTGCTGTGAAGGTGATTATAACCTTTCACAACAGTAACTGTAAACTGCTCTAAGTTTCTGGTGAGGTACAGGATTTGACTGCTCACTCCTTTTCAAGAAACAAGGTACAAGCCAAAGAAACAAGCCATGAGATGTTTTGGCAAACACAAAAGAGGCTGAGAGTTTATAGACTTCATCGGTTTTTCCTGTATTCTTGGTTTGAGGAAAGGGCTGTCTGGCTTACAGAATACGTTTTAAGACTAAATCTGGAAACAGAGAGATTATTAAATAAATTCCCCATTGAGCATAGCAGAAATGTGTTTTGGAGCCCATAAAATGCCACCTGTTGCCTGACAGATATCTGTTAAATGCAGGGATAAAGATTCCAAGTACACCAAAATGTCAGCCCACTCTGCATGATGTCAACATGCAGGCTTGAGACTTATCAAAAACATCAGCCTCCAGTGAAAATTATTTGGATATCTGGAAGCTTTTATTAACTAAGGGCAGCTTAAGGAAGTGTACTGGAAGGAAGTGAAAGCAGTGCCCTTTTTATAGTATACAGTACAAACAGATGCTTCACACATGAGGGCTGCCCAGTATGGCAGCTTTCATTTGTTTGGCACCTCTTTGTCAAATGGCGTAATTGACTCTGAAGCAGTGGATTATACTGTAGAGGACTGTCTATTGGTGTTTCTATACTTCTGTCCCCACTGAAATCCATTGATGCTGGCTGAATTCAAGCTGGCTAGAGCCAATGCTCTTCCTCAGCCGGGCAAACGAAGTCTGACTTATTACCTCCGCAGCCATGCAACTGCCAACATAATACATATGGTTTAATATCCAGTGTCGTTGAAATATTTTGTCCTGAGGTAAGGAAAAAAAATTTCCCCTGTGGAATCAATGCCACTGACGTGTCCAACTGATGCTGTCCATACAAGAAATGTTCAGAACTCAACCTTTGTTTGCATATTAACATTATGCCCTCAAGAACATTTTGCTGAACAATAACAGCAATCAATTTCATAGTTCAAGGTAAATCCATTTCAGTGCATGTTTTTCCCATGACATGTTGATCACAGTACTTGTTTGTCAATGGCTCCTTTGTATCACTGTAGCTTTAGGCAGCTAAAGAAAGTGTGTGATTTATTTGAGTAGTAAATCCAAGCTGGCAATCATAAACTATTTTCAAGAATTAGTTACAAAATTGTGAGTGTGAGGAAAAAAAAAAACTACATAGTCATACTTCATCAGCATTAATGATTACACTCACATCCTGCCCCGCCCACGCCTGGAAAAATAAAGAAATCTTGTGATGTTAAAAGCACGTCCCTTTTGGAATGAATAATCAGGAAGCTTTGCTTCTTTACAAAATGCTAAATATGCACAATTCACAGCTCCCCTGCTTTAGACCCTGTATTTCCCTGAAGCCTTTCCCTCACTTAGCCCACTCCATCTGCCATTTCTCTCTGCTCGCAGCTCCCACTCTTCATTCTCCTGCCTTGTTATGCTTCCCACCTTCTCTTCCTTCCTTCACCATCCTTTCCAGCTTTATGTTGTTTTTCAGTTTTTTCTTTTCTCCCTTTCTTACCTACTCCACTTCTACTTGTCCTCTGCAGCCTTATTTTCATATTCATCTATTTTGCTCTCTGAGCCTTCTCTTTTTCTCTTTCTCCCTGCCGTGTGAAAACGGTACCTTCAACACTCTGCTCCCAGGATCCTCTCATCTAAATGGGATGTGTGGCCTTGCTATATCAGATTCCTCCCTGCAGGAGGTGTGAGCTAACCTTTCTCTCACCTTGACACCTAACCAGTTCCTGTTACTTGTTTTCATAACAGAAATATACTGTTCTTAGTCACAGCACACATCACAAAGCTTTAACATCCCAACTCTAGCAGGAAAACAATACAACAAAAAATGTATTCGACTAGATGGAGTCCTGCCTTTAATGCTACTTAAACCAGCAGGTGGGGGGGGGAACTCCTCCGGAGGTAAGATTCATATCGGATTAAGGCACATGTAAAAGATAAAGATGAGAGGAGTGAAAATACTGAGAATATCCCCTGATACCTGTCTGTGCTAATGAATACGGTTAATGTTAAGCTGCTGGAGTATCCACTTTGCATGTGGATATAAAAGGAAATAATTTATATTCTCACACCATGAGTCATATCAAAGCAAATCAGAGAGAAGAGGGATACAGTCATATGTGATAACTGGTAGCTATAGTGACATACCATTAATACTGCCATAAAAGAGCCCCTGTGAAACATTCATCTAAAGTTCTGCAGATAAACTCATACGATCACACTCACTCACACAACTCCATAAACCCAAAAAGTGAACTTACGTGTTCGGACTCGATGGTGCGGGCGTGTGACCGGGCCCTTTCCTGGGCGTCCGTGATTCCAGCGTGATGTGGGCTTGACCGGGGCAGCCGGCTGGGAGGTGGTCGGCTGTGCCTTGGCAGTGGTTTTCACAGTAGCTGTTGTGGTGGTGATGGTGACAGAAGTCTGTCCTGGCTTTGAGTTGGCAGCTCCATTACGTCCATTACCAGTACTGCTTCCTTTTGTAACAGTGCTGCGAGGGGTGACCTCCTTAACGCTGGGTGGTGGGGTGAGTCGGGTGGTGTGGGTTGTGGAGGTGGTAACTACAGTCCCACTGATGCGGGTGCTGACACGGTTGTGAAGGTGTGGGGCACGGTTGCCATCTCCATTAGCAGCGCTGCCATTGGCTGAGTGGTTTGCTGGTGGCCCGGATCGAGTTCTTGGCGCTGCAGCGGTACCATCCGCAGCTAGTGGTGTGGTAGTAGACAGCATTGCTGTGGCAGAGGCACCTGAAGCAGTGGTGGTGGTGGAAATGTCAGGCCCCTTGGGCATGGCACTGGGTTTGGAGAGAAATATAGGGTCCTGTCCGATGCTACCTTTGGGATCCACCAGATCAGTGGGTACATAGTCTTGGACGGATCCCACCACAATCCATTTCAACAGCATAAGACTGAGTCCCAGTCCCACAAAGCCCATTACCAAGGGCACAACACACAGCCAGGTCTGCTGGCGAGGCCACACAGCGCAGGGGCCACAGCGGAGAGGGCCCGGGGCTCGGGGCGATGCCTGTTCGGCCCCAGGCTCCTCCAGTGTCATGGCTGCTAAAGTGCTTGCACCTGAGCGCTCACTCATCCTGCTGGAGTTTCAGTCTCTTGGGGTGTTCAGGTCAAACAGGTGGCCAAATGATACGATGGCATGTACCAGGAAGGGGACGTGGTGCAGAAGCAATGCTGGGCATCTTAAATAAGTATCCCCACAATGTCTATCCTATTCGTCTACATGCACAAACATAAAAAATGAACTAATGCATAAGCACCAGAAATCACAATCACCTACTACTAATTAAAAGGTGGCATAGCGCCAAAATGCATACACCAGCAATATAACCTGCACTCCCTCTGGCGGACAACGAACCAAACACATACATGCACATACACACAGACAGACAGACAGACACGCGCGCGCGCGCACTAGAACATACACGCTCCACCACAGGAGGACACAGGTTATGGACAGGTGAGAGAGCGAAGCGGGGGGGGGGGGGGGAAAAGTTCAGCGCTAACGACGCGACGATAAATCCCAGGATACTTCACTCCCTTGTTTTAAAAAATCGACGCAAAAAGAACAGAGAAGGATATCGATCCGCTGCGAGGAGAGCTTCAGACTGGAGCTGTAAATCCATGTGCGTGTGTGCGTGCGTACATCAACAATCCAGGCTACGGCAGCACCCTTCTCCACAATTGGTTTATTATCGGCCTCAGAAGGTCTTTAAAATACATACCACGGATTTTTCCTCTGTTCCTCTATACTCACTGACTTCATCTGAGTATCTGTACATACATTAGAAGGTTCCCTCTTTTGCTGAAGGTGTCTTTCTCGGCTACTTCAAGTTTGCCTCCATCAGCCCTCAGCTCTCCATGCCCGGCCACCCTTTTCTTCGCTCCAGCTGTCGGTAATCCAGTAGGAAGAAAAAGCCAAGGGAAAGCCACTGAAGCTGAAACGAGACAGGGCAGAAGGGATCTGACGTGATCTGCCGGTGAGATGGGCTGGTGGTGGTGTCCAGGGTAGCGGGCTAAATCCAACTGATCCGGGGGCAATCCTTACATCTACCACCCCACTCTGATTTCCCGGAGTGACAGCCGTGCGTCTCCAGGGCTGTCTGTCTGCAGTCCGTTATTGTGATGATAGATCCGGTATTGGTGGGGCGGGGAGGGGGGGGGGGGAGCCTCTATGACTCCTTTATCTTCGCCGCATTCCCACAGTTGTTCC